CTAAGTATTTTATTTTTTGACATTGTAGTACATGAATATTTTTATTTCATTTTTCAATTATTTGATGCTAATATATAAAATTACAATCAACTTTTGTATATACTTGTATTCAGCAGCTTGGCTAAAATCAGTTTTTTAAAATATTTATTTATTTTTTAGGTGTAGATGGACACAACACAATGCCTTTATTTTTATTTGGTACTGAGGATCGAACCCGGGCCCACCCGTGCTAGGTGAGAGCGCTCTACCGCTGAGCCACAATCCCAGCCCTCAGTTTTTAATTCTAACAGCTCTTTGTAGGTTTTTTTGAAATTTTTATATAAACAATTATGTTACTTGCAAAACAAAAGCACTTTTACGTCTTACTTTTTAATCTACATATTTTAATTTCTTTTCCTTGCCTTATTGCAATGGCTAGGATCTCCAGAACAATGTTGGAGAGTAGCAGTGAGAGCTGCCCCCTGACCTTTATTCAGGCTTAGGGATGGGGTGTTCACTGTTTCACCCTGAAGGTGTGAAACTGTAGGGTTTTCATTGATAACCAATAGTAAATTGAGGAGGGTTTTTTTTGTTGTAGTTTACTGAGAGATTATATTATTAGTCAATTTTAAGTCTTTTCAAATTCATTTTCTGCACGCATGGAAATTATATTGCCCTTCTCCTTTCTTAATGAATGATATTAGTTGATTCTCAAATGTTAAGCCAACCTTGCATTTCTGGAATAAAACCCACAAGGTCATTGTGTATTATCCTTTTTATATACTGTTGGGTTTAATTTGTTAAAATTTTGTTAGAAATTTTTGTATCTATGTTCATGAGGGATATTGATCTTTTTTTAATTTTAGGATTAACTTTCACAGATCATGATTAGGGTTATGCTAACTCCAGTATTATACAGTGGTCCCACTTTCTTTATTTTCTGAAGAATTTTATGTAAAATTGGTATTATTTTATTTTATCCATGAATTTTTAACAGAATTTACCAAGAAAGCTATTTGAGTCTATAGTTCCCTTTATGGAAAGTTTGTTTTCAGAGTTTTAAAAAGTTATATTGAAGTAGAACTGATATAAAAAAAGGCACCCCATATCTATCATGTACAATTTGACAAATTTGTACATACACAAACAGCTGTGATGCCATCACCCCAATCAAGGTAATACCAACACCTCAAAAACTTAATCCTTGTGTCCCTTTGTTTTTATACAATATAACATTTAACATGAGACCTACTCTTAAAAGCTTTGAAGTGCATACTCCCATATTGTTAAGCAAAAACACAATGTATGTAGCAGATCTGTAGAACCTACTCATCTATCATGACTGGTACTCTGCAACCATTGTTTCCTCCATCCACAGACCCCTGCAAACACTATTGTATTTGATGCTTCCATGACATGACATTGACCATTTTAGACACCTCATATGAGGGGAATTGTGAAGAAATTTCCTTCTGTCATAGATTGTTTTACTTTTAAAAAGTCCTTTAGGTTCATTCATGCTGTCAAATGATGATAGAATGCTCTTCTCTTTTTTAAAGCTGAATACTACTCCTCTGTATGTATAGACAACATTTCTCTTTATACATTCATCAGTGATGGACCCTTAGGATATTTCCATGTATCAGTTATTGTGAATGAGATGAGTGGAAATATCCTTTTGAGACTATAATTTCCATTCTTTTGTACATGTGTGCTGAAGAGGAAAAGATGGATAGCAAGACTGTTCCATTTTTAATTTGCTGAGAGCCTCCATACTTTACGTTCCCAGTAGTGTACAAGAGTTCCGATTTCTCCACATCTTTGCCAATGCTTGTTACCTTTTGCTTTTTTTAAACAGCCTTTCTAGAAAATATAAAGTAATATTGTACTTTTGATATGCATTTTCTTAACAATGACATTGAGTGTCTTTTCCTATACCTGTTGACCATTTATGTTTTCTTTTAAAAGTGTTTATTATGCTCCTTTCTGCTACTTAATTTTTAAATTTTAATCCCATCTTGAAGAGTTTATCATATCTTTCTTGGTCTCCTACATTTTTTCCTAGAAGTTTCATGTATCAAGAGTACCAGTTTCTTTGCTGTTACACAGTGTGTGTGTGTGCACGCGCATGTGTGTGTGAATACACATTATGGCCCTTTCCTATGTCAAAAATTGAGTGTCTATATATTGTTCCATGTGGATTCCTTTTAACTAGCCATCGTTTCTTTTTTTAGTATTTTTTTTTTTTTTGGTTTTAGGTGGACCCAATATTTTTATTTTTACCTTTATGTGGTGCTGAGGATTGAACCCAGTACCTCATGCATGAGAGGCAAGCACTCTACCACTGAGTCACAACCCCAGCCCCACCATTGTTTCTTTCTCGGGCTCATTATACATGTCAACTCTTTAGCACAAATTGGGGTGGGAGTAAACAGGGCGTAGGCAAGGGAAGTAACAGCTAGGTTTCAGATTTACTGTCCTAGGATAATTTCTCTGAGCCTATATAATGTTCTCTTTGTACTTTCAAGAATACAAAGAGATTTTTCACTTCTGAGCTACCAGGAAGCTGATGATTTTGTAGGAAGCCATGTGGACTATAAACTGCTCATGTTATGACAGTGTCCATAGCCCTCCGCCTGGATCAGCAGCCACTTAATGTAATTGCCACCCAGCCTCTCCATCTGTCCACCAGTGCTATGCCACAAGCCACTCTTTTAAAGAGGATGATGCACCCTTGGGATCTCATTCTCCCCTGTCTTCTAACTCTCCCCTGTTCTTAGTTCTTTTCTTTTATTATTAGATCTTTATAGTTATACATAGTAGCTTGGTTCGTCCTGACAAATACAGGCATGGTTCATAAATGCGTGGAAATCGATTTTAGTTCATGACCCCCGCTCTTATCCCTCTCCCTTTTGAAGTTTTTTTTAAATAATAAAACTTATTTAATAAATAAAGGTAGATCTGAGCTCCTGTTTCAGTTCTCATAAATTATATTAGTAATTTTGTCTGTGCTGTGGAATTTGTTGGCATAAATTAGGACACTCCCTTCTTTTTATTGTGTGTAGTGTCTCTAGTAATAAGCTTCATTTATTCCTGATATTGGTCATTTTTCTCCTCTGTATTTTCTTGGTGAGTCTAGCTAGGGACTTACCAATTTGGTTTACCTTTTCAGGGAAACAACATTTGACCTTATTAATTTTTGTACTATCTGATCTCTTCCATATTGTTGTTTGCTTTTATATTTTTCCCCTTTCTACTTATTTTGGATTACATTTTTTTCTCTCCTCTAGCCTTTTAAAAGTTAACTTTGAGCATTAAATTTGGACCTTTCATCGTTTTTAGTATAAGCATTTGAAACATTTCCCTCCAAACACCAGTTTAGACAAATCTTACAAATGTAGATGCTGTATTTTCATCAGGCAGTCTAAAGTATTTTTAAAGTTTCCTGGGATTTCTTCTTTGACCCATGGGTTATATGGAGACGTGTTGTTTCATCTCAAAAATGTGTTTTTTCCTAGATGTCTTCTTGTTATTGATTTCTCATTTAATCCAATTTCAGCCAGAGAATATATCCCGAAAGCTCCAGATTCCAAATTTCTGGCTCTCCAACCTCTACCCAGTAGACTTTTCCATTTCATCTGTTGACTGGAATCTTCAAGCAGATTTCTAAAAAATACATATTTTGTCTAGTATCTTATTGTGCTGAGGAAGACAGTTAATCCAGACCCCTTAGTCCTTCATTATCAGAAACATTTCCCAACATGTATTACTCAGCAAAGCCAAATAAAAGCTATGCCATAAAGTGCTTTTGGTGAATTTTTCTGCATGGGATACACTGACTCTCTTCTTAAAATGTAACTCAAATGTTTGGGCCAAAAATATTTTCTCTTTCTCCTGCTACAAACTTCAGAATCAAATCTAGGCATTCTTCTCACAAAGAGCTGCAAGAGGTGCTCAAAATTGGGGTCCTCAGTCTCAACCATTTGGCATTGTCCATTCATTTTACAAGAATGTCTTTGATGTTTATTAAATGGTATTTGCTAAAGACAGAGAAATAAAACTTACCACTTCTATTTGATCCCTATTTATGTCAACCTAAAAAAATTCATTTTGAACTGCATTCACAATTAAATATATTATTTTGTATAAAATTCTATATGCTCTATCTAGTCCTGTGGCTTTCCTAAACCCTGAGGTCATTTCTTAGGAGGGAAAGATCATTCCCATTGGTGTGGATCATTTGATGTAAAGATGCACCATTCTTTGTAACACTTTGTAACACAGTGCCCTAAAGAAAGCACACCATCAGTCAGGCTCCTCCAAGAGCAGAAATTCCCAAGCCAATACTCCTGGGTATGTACAATCGATTAATACCTAGAAAGCCCAAATACCAGGCCCACCCCATTAATAAAGGGGCCCTTCTGGTCTCCGTCTGCTTTTTTTTGAGAGAGAGAGAGAGAACTTTTTAATATTTATTTTTTAGTTTACAGTGGACACAACATCTTTTTTTTTTTGTGGTGTTGTGGATGGAACCCGGGCCACACGCATGCCAGGCGAGCACGCTACTGCTTGAGCCACATCCCCAGCCCTCCATCTGCTTTTATTGTCTTATTTCTCTATACTTCTAGAGACTTGGGTGGGATAGGATGGTGCTACTTACTTGTCTTGAATCCAAGAGACCTGCTAACCAATCCTCTTCTTGAGATAATTTGTCCATCCTTTGTTTTAAAAGAAAGCATTCTTGTGTTCTCAAGCCTTCAATAGAGAACAGGGGGTTCTGCAGAGGTGGGTCCCTGGCTCAGAGCACATGGATATAACACATTGCTGCATTTAATTTTTACTGCATAAAAATATCCAAATCTCTCATCTCATGAATCATATGTATTTATATATATATATATATATATATATATATATATATATTCACCACTGATTTTTTGGACCATCAATGGCTCATAAATGAACTTAAACTAAGGGGCTCTTAATAGTGATAAGGAAAAGCAAAACCAGGGAGTGGGGGAAGTATCAATATTTGGGTAAGTTGAGAGGCATCTATAATGAAAGAAAAATGGAGTCTTGAGTTTGCAGCGTGGTGTGATAGGGCAGAACTTAGCTAAAATTCCAGCTCTGATTTTTTTTTAACTTATTTTTTAAAATTTATTTTTATGTGGTGCTGAGGATCGAACCCAGGGCCTTGCACATGTGAGGCGAAGGCTCTACCGCTGAGCTCCAACCCCAGCCCCCAGCTCTGCGACTGTAAGCAGAGGCATGGCCTTAGGAGTCCCAACTCCTTTCCTCATGCAAACAGGAGCAAAAGGTGACCATCTCAGAGGACTGGTAAATGAGGTGACGTATTGGAAAGTCAGAGACGTAGTGAGTTTTCAATAATGACAGCTTGTCTTTTCTCCCCAAACAACTCTTTGGTTCAGATTTCCTTGATTAATTTAGGAAGTCTTGAGGAAGACTCTCGATAATATCAACAACTGAAGAAGTAGAAAGATTTGTAAAAACAAAACAAGCAAAAGAAAAAACAACAGAGTTTATAGGAGGAATGATTCAGTAAACATCCTACATTTGTACCACTTAATGCTTTGCCAGAGGGCACCCTAACTGCTATTTGATGTGAGCCTCACAATTGGTCCATGAAATTGATGGGGCAAATACTGCAGAGTCCATTTGAAACACAGCAAAACCAAAGTGGGGAAATTCAACACAATTGCTTATGGCACCTCAGTATCTAGTCCTGTCACTTTTTCCCATGATCCCCCTGATATATTCTGGTTATTCTGAAATAATGACCATAATGATGTCACCCCCACACATACAAGGCACTTTACGGTGTGCAGGTCTTACATTTATTTTCACATTGGGTCCTCACAACAAAAATTTTTTCTCATTTCATAGATGAGGAGCTCAAAGCTTTAGAGAAGCCAAGCAATCAGCCCAATAACACACAGCTAATGCAGAGGCTGAACTCAGGTCTTCTGACAAGTCCGAGGCTCCCGAGCTCCCAGGTAATGATCTCACTGAGGAAAATGAGAATATAGAGGACAAATGGATGTGAATCGGTTTCTGGGTAAGAGCAGGGTGAGCATTCTCCAGCCCTGGGGGAGCTCTGTGCATGAGTGATTCTGGCCCTTGTGGTCACAGTGACTGGCACAGCCAGCACTCTGCCTGGGTCATTTAGCATAATCTGAAGCAATGTTGTGATTTATTGATGACTTTTATTTCCCACTGGGATGGCATGAAAATAATCAGATGAATAATGAGCTTGTGAAGATGAATGCTCTCTGAGCCAGCTCCCGCAGAAGGGAATTATTCGATGGGATTCTGCCTGGAGCAGCACAGGGCGATGGATGTTTCTGCAGAAGGCTGGGCCTCATTTGCTCCTTTGGCAGGGAGTTGCTTCTCTCTACAGCCACAGAGAGCTTGAGAGGTAATAGCGCTGGCATCTCCCTGTTCCAAGAGTGGAGATGAGATGAGCATTGATGGTCTCTGGGATGACAGAACAGAACAGAACCCTAATCTCCGGGTGTGGGGAAGAGCTACATTTAACCCTGCAGGAGCTGGCTTGAAGGCTAAACCCCCCTGAGGTTTTGCAGTGCACAGGAAGTCACCCTACTTGATCACACACCATGGTTCCATCCCACTGGTACAGACATGCTGTTAGTTAGCTATGGCTGAATCCCAGGCCACTCTAAAACTTAGGGGCTTTAAGCAACCATCATTTTATTACTCATATTTCTATGAGTCAGAATCTGGGTGGTTCACCAGGAATAAATGATTTCTTCTTCACTTTGTGTTGGCTTGGGTTGTCCAAGGTGGCCCCTCTCACATGTCTGGGGACATGATGCTGGCTGTTGGCTGGGGTGTCTCTGTTCACCAGCATACAGCCTCCCTCCAGCAGGACATCCTGGGCTTGTTAACATGCACTGGGGTCTAAGAGCCAAAGTGAAACTACAAGTCTACCTAGACATGGACTTAGAAGTCAATGCTGTACACAATCTTGGTCAAAGCCAGTCATGAGGCCAGCTCAGGTTCAGGCACAGAGAAACCTTCTGCATCTCTGGATGGGAGGAGCTGCGTAGCGACAGCAAAGGGGAGGGAACCCATGGGTGGGGCTCACTGGGGGCTGAAAGCAGACTCTGAGTTAGAGTTTACTGAGCACTGTGTATATGAATACCGCTGGACAGTCAACGTGGAAGGGAGGGACAGGAGCAGGAGTGGGCAGAGAGAGAGGGGGATGAGAGCCTCCAGCATCACAAGGAGCACAGATGCCGGAAGGACCCTTCTGTGCTGTCCAGTGGACCACGGTGGCCAGGGCTTTATGCATCTGCCACCTGCCCACGCACGCACGCACGCACGCATGCCCGGCCGCTGAAGGGGGCTCTGGGCAGCCCTCACAATGTCCACCTCAACTTTTCCTGTATTGGCCTTCACCAAGAATCTGCTTTTCTCCTGAGAGCCCCATCCGTCCACCTGGAAGACAAAGCCAGACGCCTCTGGTCTGACCTGACGCCCTTCTCAGCATCCCTCACTCCCTTCCTCCCTGCCCTCATGCTGGCACTGCTTCCTGCCCAGGTCTCCTCAATTCTACCCTCTCGCCCTCAGCCCCAGCTGCCTCTGAAAAACAGAAACCTGCCTGACACCCTCCGGCTTAGCCCTTCTCTGGCTCCTGTCTCCTGGTGACCAAGCCCTGACTTCTCAACATGGCTTCTCAGGCCAGGTGTGGCCTGCCCTGGCCCACGGCCCAGGACTCAGCACTTCCCTTTCACACTCCTTTCGGACCCTCAGTAGACTTGAGCACTGTCTTGCCTCTGGCTGCCACAGGAACTATCCCCTCTGTCTGAAAGCTCTGTTCTGCACTCTCCCTCCCCACCTCCTCTCGTTGCCCTCCCCCACCCTTCACCAGACTGTCTTCAGCCCACCCTTTCCCTCACCCAATCCCCAGCACCATCCCATGTCCCTCACATTCCAGGTACTTCCACTCTCCATCCCAGGCTGCACCCAGGGTAGAGGTGTCAGTGAAGCCTGTCTGACCCCCTGCACTGGACAGTGGGCTCCACGGGAACAGGCTAGGCTCCCTGTGCCCCAGGGCCTGGAACACAGCATCATGCAGGGCTGCATGCACAATAATTGCAGCGCCTCACTTACCTGATGCCTGGGCTGTGCTCTGAGCTGATACCCAGGAGGGTAAGGGAGACAAGAGGAGGGAGAGGGCTGAGTCTGAGTCCTGAGTTAGAGAAGCCGAATCTCAGGAGGCGAACACCATGGCAGGGAAGAAGAGCTGCCCTGGGAGCCTAGAGGAGCCAGCAGGAGCACACGGGCTACACGGGCATTGAGATAACATCCAGAGCTCTACTCCCTGCGGGGCATTTCCACCCTGACAGAGCCCTCAACAGTCCCTGCCAGGGGGCGAGATGCACAGCCTGTCTCTTCCTGCCCCTCAAATACTGCCAACCTACAGCACAAGAGAACTGCACGTCATTTCATAGCTCTCTCTGAGTCAAGTGAAGTCCATTGTGCTTTATGGGGATTGTTACCCTCAATTTTCAGGTTAGAAAATAGAGCCACAGAGAGGTTAATGGCTCATCCAAGGTCCCCACAATTAGTAAGTGTCAAATGCTGGATTTGAAGCCAAGTTCTGTCTCCTGTCCACTGTGAACACTTGACACTTTGCAGAAAGCCCAGGTAAGGCAATCTGTACAGGTCAGAGAGTAACGCCACTGATAGCTGCCCACCAATGAGAACAGATCACGAAGCTCGACTTCCAGTCTCTATGAGTCATAAGCCTATTCAAAAGCAGGACTGGGAGAGAACTTAGAGACGATCTTGTCCAACTACCTCTATTTTTATTTGGTTTTATTTGGTGGGCCCTTGGAGCTGTGGTTTTAAGATCCATCCCTGTTTCTATGTGAACATCTGGTCCACTGCTTTTAAATGCTTCCAGCAGCTACATACACCCAGATTTGCTGCCCACTGCTGTAGGAATCAGTGTCCAAATGACAGCTCGCTCCCCAAATACACTGCAAAGGTCACCCACAGTCATTGCTGTTTTTAAAGGCGAGAAGATAAGGGCTAAGGAGTGGAGAGACACTTGCACTCAGTATTCACTTACGATAGGCATTTCCAGTTGGCTCTTAGCAACCCCCGGGAGGTGAGGGTAGAGGGGGAGCCATTTCTCTCTCCCCTAATATCTGCATGTCCATTTTGGAAAGAATCCTGGCTGGCTGGCCTTACTTGGATGTTCACACCTTTGACTATCCCAATGGCCAGAGATGGGGCTTCTGACAGGGCGAGTCAGCCTGGATCCCTCTCATTTGCAATAGCTGGAGCAGATTCTTATCTGCCCACAGGACACAGAGAGGATAGGGAAAGGACAAAGAAAGAGGGGTCTTAGCAGAGAAAAATAGAAGGGGCCATCTAGGGACTCACAATTACTCCCTGCTGATCATGCAGAAGGGTCCTTTGTGGGGGTGAGGGGCACAATGACACTGCTAAAGGGGGAGGGGGAACATGGAGGTGCTGGAGGCTGGAGGCATGCTTGTCCCTGCAATGTGCTTCTACAAAGGACGAAGAAGCCCCAGTGCCTCTCTGTCCCCTCTGAGGTGCTGAGCAAGGAAGAGCAGCCCCCCACACACTCCCTGCTTTATCTACCCATCTCCTCATTTTGCCCCAAGTCTGAGACCCTGCTCACAAACGTTACCAGATCTGCACAGAACTAGTAGAGAAGCCACGAGAATCTCCCAACACGTCACAAGCTCTATCCTCCCAAATGCACAGCCCCATCCCTCTTCACAATTTAATCTCAGAAAACACAGGAAAAAGAACAACTCAAAAAGGAAAAAAAAAAAAAAACCTGCTTCCACAGACTTAATTCAGGTGAGCAAAAATCTGGCAGTTGAAATGGCAGAGAAAGGAAGTTAAGAAAACATAACCATTGGCTCAGAATGTGTATGTGGGCGAAGTATGTTCCCTACCTGCCACACTCTCCTCTTGTCCACTGTGAATTCCTGAGACTTCCCACATTAGGCCCAGGCAGGGCAATCTGGAAGGGTCAGAGTTCATGTCTCTGGAAGTTACCCAGGACCCATCTGGATATGGGAATTTGGTGATGAAGATCAGTCCCCAGCTTCCTCTCCCTCTGCTGGGGACTGAGACATGCTTTGCAGGGGCTGCCAGGGCTCCCCAGGGCTCTCCAGCTGTCCTCACCCAGAACATAACTTGCATGATAACACACACGTCATCAGCTTCTTCTCCTCCGGGTCTTGTTTGTCCACACCCCTACGACTTAGCAGAACAACTGCTTGCATTCAAATCCTTCTCTCAGGGTCCATGCTGGTGGGACTCCAACTAAGGCAATGTGAGAACAAAGAAAGTAAATACTAGAAATCTGGAGGCATAGTACTAAAGTGGTTAATCCTCCAGGCTTTGGGGTCACATCGTCTGCTTGAATCTGCCTTACTAATTTGTAAATATTTAATATTAAAATGATTGTTATTTAGAGACTTTAGGAAGTAGATTTCCAGAGTGACAGAGTTGGAAACTCTACAGAAGGAAGACAGTTCCAGAAGGGTGGGAGACTTCTTAAAATTCTGAGAAATTCTCAGAATATCTCAAATAATTCATTCTACAGAGGCCCCTGCAGAAACACTGTCTTCCTGGGATGCACTGTGGAGGACCTGTATTTGAAAGGACAAAGGGCAGAAGGAGTAGCCATAAGCAGGACAGAGAACAAAGTCTACCCACCCCTGCCCGTAAGATGAGTGTGGAAAGGCCAACCCCAGAATGTGCTGTGGCTTGCAAATCTCCAAGGACAATAGGAATGGCTTTGTTAAAGCATGTTCCAAACAAAGCCAAGAATGAGGAAGGGACAAGCCAGTGCTTGGGGCAGGACGAGCTGTTCACCGGTGACAGAGAAAGTCAAACTGCTCAACACCCGCCTGGCCCTGTCTCTCATCACTGAGAAAGATTTAAAACACACAAGGTGAAGACAAACAGGGTTAGGATGGAATCCACACTCGACTAGGGCCCCCACAGGCTTTCTGGCTTGACAGGGTTACTAGACAGAAACTCCCAGAGCCAGCAAGGCTGGGCTTGGCCTCAGAGGCTGGCAAGCAAGCCCTTGGCCTCAGGTGCATGGGGCAAGTAGGGACTAGGAGCAGACTGCAGGGCTCTGTCCTGAGTCCCAGTAATTCTTTCAAGAAGCTAGATGAAGATCTTAAGCACAGTGCTTAGCCTGGTGAAGGCTCTAAACCAGTACTTTTCAACAAGGGACAATGACACTCACCCTCCCCGCCACCACACCACCCTTGTTGCCAAGAGGCCTTTGGCAAAGTCTGCATGCCAGTGTTTGACTATCCCTACAGAGGTGTGTGGGGGAAAAGGACTGCTACTGACATCCAGGGGATGGAGGCCAGGATGTGTCCCTTCCTACAGTGCTAGGGAAGACCCCCACGTCAGAGAATTGTTTGGCTCAACAAGTCAATGGTGCCAAGATTGAGAAGCCCAAGTCTCAAAAGATTCCCGTCCAATGAATGAGTGAATGAGACACCGGACAACCACTATGAGCCCTGGAAATGCAGAAACGAATGAGACACAGTCTCTCCCTCAAGAGCTCAGACTGTAATACAAGAAAAAAGGACTGGAAGTTTGGTTGGGACATGAAGTGGAGATGAAGGGTGGATGGGCCATTAAATGTGCCTGGCGTGTACGCAGGGCCCTTAGGAAGGAGCACTGGAGACAGTCCTGGGGAGGGACCAGGTGCCATGGTACAAGCCCCCACTATCTTCCAGGCACAGGGTCAACAAAGTTGTGAGGCATGGTAACATAGTCAGATCTATTTTTGAAATAAGAATATACTTATTATCCCTTATTTTAAAACATTCTTCCCTCCAGCAAAGAATTAGTACAATTTTAATCTCATTTGTAAGTACACCATGATGACCTTACACCCAAAATGGTAGAACACACTGGAACCTTGGAGAACACAGCAAAATGCTCTGCCCTGGGCACACTCATCAGCAGCTCCTTTGCTCTGCACATGTGCCAGATTTTTTTTAAAGTGTACAGCTCAATAATTTTTAGTAAAGGTATGGAGTTGTGCAACCATCGCCATAATCCAGTTTTAGAATATTTCTGTCACCCCAAAGAGTCCCTCGTGTGCATTTGTACTAAATCACCATTCCTCCCACAGCCCTAGGCAGCCACGATTCTGCTTTCTGTCTCTATATATTTCCTATTTCTAGACATTTCAAATAAAGCGAATCATACAATACGCAGTCTTTGCCTCCAGCTTCTTTCACTTAGCATAATGTTTTTGAGGTTCGTCATGTGATAGCATGAATCAGTCGTTTGTTCCTTTTTATTTCTGAATGACATCTCCGTCAGATTTCTATTTAAAAGACTGTGCTGGTTACAGAATGAAAGATGAGTGGGAGAGAGAAAGTAGAAGCCAACAGACCCTTTAGGACACCCTGGTCGTTGTTCCAGGGGAGACAAAGCCTGAGTTGGACGAGTGGCCTGGGTCTTGAAGAGAGAGGGAAGGGATGGGGTCACAGAGCCAGGAGGCAGTTAGCTGATAGTAGGACCAGCTGGGAGGCTTGTTCACAGGACAGCGTCTGTGGGGGTCAGGTGAGGAGCCTAGGAGAGGCCTGCACTCTCACAGGGCTAAGCAACAGGGATGTGATCTCAATGTACTTCTGAGCAGGTTGAGACTTGGCTGAAGGGATCATGTTCAACAAATCCAAGCCACCCATGGATACTCCTGGCGGTCTGTTGAGAGCCTGGCTCTTTGAGCCATTGGGAATAGAACACATGTGGCAACTAGACAGGTGACACAAAATTGTGAGGGACAACAAATTTAGGGTAACAAAATTCAAAAAATGTACCAGGCCCCGGTGATGGGCTATGGCAGAATCTGGGCAGATCCATGATGGAAAGAACTAATAACCTGTGACTTTCTGGTTATTCTTCCTGGGATGCTGTGAACTTTGTGAGAACAAGGACTGTGTTTACAGGGACATAAGGAAAATAATCTGAAAATGAACCCTGAAGCTTGCTCTGAGTTTTTTTTAATTATTTTTTAAAATTTATATATGACAGTGGAATGCATTGCAATTCTTATTACACATATAGAGCACATTTTTTTCATTTCTCTGGTTGCATACAAAGTATAGTCACACCAATTCGTGTCTTCATACCTGTACTTTGGATAATAATGTCCATCACATTCCACCATCATTTCTAATCCCATGTCCCCTCCTTTCCCCTCCCACCCCTCTGCCCTATCTAGAGTTAGTCTATTCCTCCCACGCTCCCCCTCCCTATCCCACTATGAATCAGCCTCCTTATATCAGAGAAAACATTCAGCATTTGGCTTTTGGGGATTGGCTTACTTAGCATTATCTCTCTAACTCCATCTATTTACCTGCAAATGCCATGATTTTATTCTCTTTTATTGCTGAGTAATATTCCATTTTGTATATAGGCCACATTTCTTTATCCTTTCATCTATTGAAGGGCATCTAGGTTGGTTCCACAGTTTAGCTATTATGTGACACGGCCACATCAATGGTTATAGCAGCACAATTTGCTTGCTCTGAGTTTTATGAGGGTCACCTTTCTCAGATTCCTATGTGACTGACAGTTCTATGGAATGCCCACAGGAACACAAGATCCCATGTGCAAGGTCATGGACCACTCCTTTAAAGATCATCTCTCTGAGAGGCAAGTCTAGGAGATTGACCTCTCCATGACTTGCTTCTCCATGGGATGCTGAAAAGATGGGGACTTTTCTTTGTGGTAACTGTATTAGCAGTAACAAAATGCCTGAAGCTGGAAACTTACAAAGTAAAGCGATTTAATTAGCTCATGATTCTGGTGGCTAAAGGGTCCAAACAGTGTGATACTGGCCTCCTGGTGAGGTTCCCCGGGCTGTACTACAACATAATAGAGAAACAGAAAGGGAACTGGCCTCATGCACAAAAGGTCACATGGTCAGACAGGAAGCCAGAGAGATTCAGGAGTCAGGATCCCTCTTTTTATAAAAATCTGCTCTGATGAAACCAACCAGGTCCCAAGAGAACTACATTAATCTCTTGTGAGAACAATGTCCTCCAACAATTCCAACAGTGCCACACCAAGGACCAGGCTTGCAACATACGAACCTTTGGGGAACACAGACAAACCACATCAAACCATAACGCTGACCTTTACTTTGTAGTTTTCCCCCAATAAGCCCGTTCCTTAGCCCTTACTGTGTGCTGGGCCAACATTTACCCCAAGCTCTGGTACACAACAGGTGGCCATTCTGGTAGCAACTAACAGAGCCCACTTCATCTTTATATCCATCTGAGCCGGCAGAGTGCCAGCCCATGGTCAGTAGCTCCAGATTTGCAAGGATTAAGTAGGGACCTTATCACTGTATTCACTTCACTGGGCCCTCATTCTTAGAAACTGGAAATTCTGATGATTTACCACATTTTCTAATTATATAAGTAGCTGATGCCCTCTGAGGCAGATGTGAAAAATATAAGCAGTGCTAACTTTTCATTACTTTCTGTATAGAGAATGTATGTTTGAACATTCGTTCATTCCTACACACACACAGACACAGACAAACATACTCGGCACATTTTTTGCTACACAATTGGGATCAACAGTGCAGTTTTCAGTTTCAAATTAAAAACACTTCTTGTCTTTGAAGACACCCTCTGTAATCGGAGCATAACATCCCACCAAATACAGGTTACATAGTTGATTTTTCCATTTCCCTCTCACTGCCCCTGTAGATTTTTCTGGGTCTAGGGATTGACTTTAGTGACACCCAAGTCTGCATTCAGGACTTGGCTCATTTCCCATTTGGGTTCCTGATTCCTTCCCCAGTTACCCGATTTTGCTTTCTTTGCCTTTAACCACCTGCTCTCAGCATCGGCACATTCTCCTCTCTGGTGGCCTTGCTTCTGGGTCTCTGTGGACACTCCCCACTCCCGTTCTTCTTCACCCCAAGGGCCTGTTCTGCCCTATTTCCCTGTTTTCTCCTACCAGCTGGTTTCTATGACTCCACAGCTTCACAGTCTCTCTGAGGCCACAGTGGCTCTCTCCTGCCACCTCCTGCCCATTCACAACATCTCTGAACACCAGCTCTCCCCTCACAATGCTGCCTGCCCATTGATGACTTGGGAAAGGACACACCTAAGTCAGCATGAAGACATTATTGGGTTTACGGGGTAAAGCTACCACTCTGACAGACCTGAGTTAATTTGCATCTGAAAATAGAACTGTAAGCTCAATAGGAATCAATAATGGGATGTGGCTGAGAAAAAAAGAAAAAGAAAGAAAGGAAAGGAAAGAAAAAGCTAATGCCATTTCCAGCCACCTTTGTGTACTGTTTTCAGATTCAAGATCAATAGGGATAAGTCACAGGAAAATAGATTTCAGGTCAAAATGAAAAAAAGACTTTGTTAAAGGAGTTTGACCTCCAGTGAAACAGACTGGCGAGGCATTGACCATCACAGGCCACGTTCAGGAAAAGATGGCATCCATTCTGCCTCCAAGATTTCATGAATACCCACCTAAATAAATGTATTCTTAAGAAGTGACTGTAGAAAGAGACTACCCACGTGGTCTTCAGAAGACATGGTCTGATGTTCACGTGGACCTTCATTATGCAGTCCCTTTCCTGGGGTCACTTGGGGGTACACTTGGAAGGCCACAGGGAGGAATGTAGTAGGTCCTGTGGCAGGTCCTGAACAGACCTGAGGCTGGCTTTTCACCACCTCTTTCTTCTTGACAGCACGGGGCAGCACCAGGTTTCATTAACTAGGTCCATCCCAGGTGGACACAGTGTCCTCCACGCTCTTTGAGCCCTGGGAATGCAGAGGCCAAAGTCCTCCCCACCCCCAACCCCCCACATCAGCCCCATGGTGCTTCACCAACATTCTTGTACAGTCTGCACTCAAATAAGTCGTAGCAACTCTGAGGGACACTTGCCTGTCACCTACTCAAGGCACATTTCCTTCCTCAGTTACAGAACGGCTGGCAAGGGTAGCAAGTGAGTACCTAAGAGAATGGTTCCATTTACCTTTGGAAGAGGAATAAAGAAAGGAAAGTCTTAAAGGGTCAAGACAGAGGATGAGTAAATGGATGTCTGTTGGCCCAAAATGGGCAAATGCAAAGGCGTGGAGATGGAGGGGCTCGGGAAAGAGAGCATCCAATGGGGCTACAGCAGAACAGGGTGAGACTCGAAGCTGGAGAGGCAGACAGGGTTCAAGACAAGGACAGCCATGTGAAGAAACTCGGGCTTCACTATGAAGGTCATGGGGGACCACTGAAGGAATATAGAGAAGAAAATGATGGAAGTAGATTTCCATTTACAAAAGACACTCTTGTAACACCCCTCAGTGGAGTGGAGAATGGATTGAAGCAGAAGAGACTAGAAGTAAGCAGGTTAAGGGGACAGCACCACCATTTGTTGATGAAAAGCACCCAACACCTTCATCCCAGCAGTGAGGATCAGGAGGAGGAGGAGGAGGAGGAGGGAAGGTTTCCACCTAGAACTACTACAAGAGGTTACACAGGGTTGTAAGGAGCAGGACAGGTTCTGGCCAACCCCGTTTTCTGACTTGGGCAGCACTATGGATGGCAAAGCCACTCCCCTACGCAGGGCTGTCATGAATTCAAATACTCTGCCTTGCTGCCCTTGCTTATGGGAACCATATGTCTTGATTTGCATTGGAAATGAATAACATCCATGCTGTGTATGTGATGTGTCTAAGTTTTGGATGCCTAGTGTCTGAACCACTTCTTATGTTTAAAAATGTCCTACACTAAAAGTCCAAATGAGAAGCCAAGCCTATGTACCTCTATAGAAGCTGGAAATACTCAATTCTTGCTTTCCCTGGCTCCCTTACAGATACAGGACCATTACATGCCCTTCCAATCACACTCCTGCTCAGACTGTAAGTAAAGACCTGGTGACACAAAGAAGCAAGAGTCACAAGACTCTGGGCAGAGTTGGTGACTACAATATCATGGTCTTTCTGGGGGCTCAAGGCGGCAACATGAGCAGTGTCTCCCTGTGTCTAATGGTAGTGGTACAAACAGCAGAAGCAGACTTCTCACTGTACAGGTCTGTGACATTATTTAAGTAGCCTCTGAGCCTAGCTCTCCATCTCTTCTGGCAAATCTGCAGCCTACTGTGTAATCATTCAAAAATTATTTTTCTCCCTAAGTTAGCCAGAATTTGTTTCCATTGCTTGCACTTAGGGATGCTGACTGTTATTGACATTGAAGTCAGGAGTGGCTGTTGGCAGATCTTTAGAGAAATGGGAGAATCTGGATAGAGTTTGCGGAGATGAAGCCTGTGTAACCATCTTGTGTTCTGTGGTGGGATTCCGGCAGTCCACGCCTGCAGAGGTAGCCCACAGATTAAATCACCACCTCCTTACACCTGGTGGGGTAGTGGGCAGGATTATGGCTCCCAAATTTCTCATACCCTAAACACTGTGATAGTGATTAGGATATCATGCCTTACAGATATGTTACCTTACTCAGTAAGAGGAACTTCGCAGATCAGCCAGTCTTAAAATAGATTATTCTGAATTATCCAGGTAGGCCAGAGGAATCACATGAACCCCTAGAAGCAGAAATACAAGGAGAAATCAAGAGAGATCTTCACCATAAGAATAATTTGATGTGTCATTGCTGGTTTGAAGCTGGAGGGCCTGCATGTCAAGGAATGGGACCCTGGGCATTCCTCCTCCACACTGAAGAGAATTCTGGCAACAACATAAATGGGTTGGGAATGGATTCATCCCCAAAGACTTCAAAAAAAACATGGCCCTCTGGCTCCTTGATTTCGACTTTGTGAGCCCTGAGCGGTGGGTTCCATCACATCAGACCATTCTTCTGGACTCCAGAACCGGGAGAGAACAAATGGGTATTGTTTTAAGCTGTGAAGTCTGGTCATTGTTACCCAGAAATAGAAAACTAGTGCAGTTACTGAGGAGGCCATTGTCAGAGAAAAGGTGAAAAGCCTGAAGAATTCGGGGACTGTCCTTGGGTGCTTCCTTCTAAGGGCAGTGACTGGAATTCCTAAATTCTTGGTCACCGTGGGTGAGCTTATCTGCCTGCCTTCCACACAGCACCACAGAGGGCACTGCTTTGTTCTCATTGAGACACAGAGGATTGGCTTCCATGCCCAACAGGTTCTGCCAATAGACTTACCATCTACAGATTTAGAATCAAAGACAAAAATCCATTTTTCCACAATAAAAAAAAAAATTGGTTGACAATCATCATTCATTAGTTTTACCACGCACCAAATCACCTGGAGGCAGCAGGCCTTGTAGAACGGGGTAATCATTTATTAAGGACTCAGGGTATTTATCATTGGACAAGCAATACCTTTCGGGGGCTGTTCTTCCATGTCTTCCATGCCTCAAAACAGCCAGCCGCGATTACCTGGGGCCAGAAAGTGAAGGGTGGACATGCAAATGTTACTTATCCATATCACACCTCATGACCCACCCCCAATTTTTACCTCCCATTCCTGCAACTCAGAGCTCTTTGTGTTTAAAGGTTTTAGTCACAGAGAAGAATACTTTTCATCAGGAGACAAAACAATAATTTCTAAAACATCTCAGAGAGAGACGTTGCTAGGCTCCAAATATAAAAAAATAATAAAAGTTGGAAGAGATGGAAATGCTAATTGCCCTGATTTCATAATTAAACAATGTATACACATATTAAATGATCACATTGTGCCACATACATCTGTACAATTATTACATATCAATTAAAAATAAATTTCAAGGAAAGGCGAAAAAGTAGCTATTTGAAAAATGTGATCTTTCTGGTCCTGATGCTACTTTGGTTATGACATAATTATTACATAACTCAGGCAAAGAGATGAATAGATGGAGCCTAGGGGCTCCCTCAAACTTCTCCTGGTACTAAGATAATCAGTGGTAAAAATACAGAACTTCTATCTAGTGATACTGAGTCATAGCATTTGCCATTTGCCTTGGTGTAAAAACTCCCACCATGACGAATTTCAAATCATCAATATGAACATGGGGTTGGAATAAGCTGCATATAATAGCACATCATTATATAATCTCTGTTCCTTACACATACAAAAGACAATCTCAAAACCATAGTGCCTCAATCCTAAAGAAAAGGAGGACATTCCAACACCACGCCCTGGAATGCCTTTAGTTCCAGGAACCTGGCCACATCAAGGGACAAAAAGGGTAGGCACAGGGTCAGGAATGCCAAGATAAACTAGAAGGACACCGACTTTCGCTCATATAAGCTGGGAACTAGGGCAAGCTAATGCTATCTGTAGAATATTTCCTTTTGCACATACTGAGATACTGGTCACACAAGCAAAGTAAGCAAGATAATGCTGATAGTGTCTCTGCTTCTGCAGCCTAACATAAAACTCCTCTTTGTGTGGTGACTGCTGCAGAACTGAAGTTCCTGTGGAAAGGATGTATGTCACTCGTCTAGCCAGTGGAAAACATGCTGTGAGGGAGAAGAGGTGCTGCTTGGCAAAGCACAGTGACGGACAGTGAAGGACAGAGGTGATATCAGTTCAGTCTTTCATGACGGGACCTCCTCTGTAAGCAATTCTCCCTAAAACTTATACCTCATGCACTGTCTCCAGGTACTTTCTTTGGTCTCTCAGCAACCTATCCCCACGGCCTTGGCACAACTGGGCTGTGGACAGAGAATGGGTTTGAGATACTGATTACATTTGTCTCTAATACAATTTATTTGATTAACAGTTTATATATTTTTAAATAACATCTATATGTTTAACAAATGGCCCACAACATTGTAGAAAATTGACTCATCTTCTCTCACAAACCAGTTAAAGACAGACCCAACACCACCAGTGATAAAGTAATTCTATACAGAAAGGGTCAATAAGGCTCAGATCCCCCATAAATGAAGGTCAGGTTCACCTTTCCTGGTTAAAAAATTCAGTTGAGGTTCTAGCTAATGGCAAAGTGAATTATTGTAAATATTGTTGAAGAAAAAAATCGAAAAACCCAATTCTGTCCTTCAGTCCAGTTGTAAAAGTCAAGACTAAAATAACTACCCATATTTTCTCCCATTCCATGAAAA